GGTTGTGTAAGTGACAACCTGTGTACTTTGTTTTCTTTTGCTTTGACTGAAAAAGGAAACAAGAAATAAGCAGGAGCCTTTTTGCTATTAAGAACAAACTTTCTCCTCTCTCTGGTATTTCTTGGTGATATACTTCTCTTGCTACAGGTGAAATTAGTTCCACCAATGCTTTCCTAAAGAGCTGTATACATTTTGGTCAGCCCCTGGATTCTGCAACTATTAGGAAGAGTTTCCTGTTGAGGCAGCTGCTGCTGGCTTAGTGCGTGGAAAAACCGTTGTTGCATCTTTTATTTTTACTTTTTGGCATTTCCTGAAAGTGATAGAAAGATGAAAAGTGACCTGTGGTTTGTTCTTCCCCTACCTCACCGCAACAGCTACTCATTTTGAGTAGTTGAACAGCTTCCTCCCTTTGCCTCTATATGTGCATATTCCTGGGTTCCTCCACCTCTCTCTGCATCTGCTAGAAAATAACCCCTGCTTAATAACACCCCCCACACATTTTAGTGTACACTTGACTTACGCCTTCGGCAACATCATATTCAACAGAATAATTTTCTAGTCACTACACAGCTACCCTGCTGCAGACAGACAAAGCATGTGTTGTAATTATTCATACTTTACAAATGAGAAACTATGATAGGAACAGAACAAGGTACTAGTGAGTCCAGACTGGAAATGTAGCTGCAAGAGGTTTTTGTTTTCTTTTTTATAGACCTATGGAGCTTTGAAATGTGTATGTGTCAAGGCATTTAGGAAGATGCCCACTTCCACAAAGCACACTGAGATGGTAATGTGTCTGGCTCTCCTTTGGTGATTTTATGAATTTGTGCATTCATGGAACAAAGCTCAGTGGGGACTGATGGGATGATACCTGGGCTTTTGTTACTTGCAGTGCAGCTTATGAGCAGATGCAGTGTCTGACTCAATGAGGCAAACAAAAGAGAATACCTGCCATTCCTAAGCATGGTCCTCACTTTTCTCTGTGGATGGATTTGCTTATTCAATTGCCTTTCATGCATGATGTATATCTTATGTGTCTTCTAGTATAGCTTTTGCATGACCTTTGTCCTCTAGTCAACTTTTTCCTGGCAACTAGATCTTTTAATTCTGTGTTGTGTACCTATGTGAGTTCCTTCTCAAGTCATGAAACCTTCAGAGTATTTGGTGGTGTATGGGATAGTATATGAAATGATAGGAAGTGAGGGATAGTAAATGAAATGATAGGAAGGTGAATATTTTGTCTGCAACAAAAGTCCACTGGTGGTTTTTATTGAATATATTTGAAACTTAGACATGGAGGAATAAAAATCGTCATTTGTTTATTTTTTACTATTCAATCTTCTGGCTTTTATTGTAGTTCCAGCGAAAGAAACTTACATGTATACTTTCCCATTCTCTTTTAAGACTTACCATAATTTCTAAGCAGTTACTAGTCTGTTGGGAATGTACCAATTACTGGTGACAGAGCCAAACAGTATTTTTGGTTTGCTCAAGTCAGGATGAAAATCCAAGTTCTTATAACCAAAACCCTTCAAGGCCCAGCTCTTTGAACTGCACGGGATCACTGCCCTCTTCCTGTGGAAACTAGGAACCAGTGCAGAGCTAGAGTTGGGTACAGTTCTTTTTGGAAAAGCATCAGAAAGATGACTGATCTTTCCTAGATCAGGTTTGTGTCATGGTTTCAGTTCAGAGAATTGTCACCTAAATTGAAAGCTGCAAGGCTGAGGAAACCTTACAAAGGCACTCTTGTTATGGCCTCTCAGTTTGGTAAGTAATTTGTGTCTGACTCTAGTTGTTGGAGAACCAGAACTTCTAAGTCAGAGTGTGAGAACTGGCCAGGGTGCCATGATTGGGGTGAAAGGATTAAATTCAACACTGGTAATATCCATTTCTAGTCTTTTTAGTGCTCACTAGGCTACCAATTTTCTATAAAGGAAAATAATTAATCTGATTAACTCCCAATTCTTGTCTTCCTTTCTTGTATTAGTGAATATAAAGGTGCCTGAGGCAGCCCTTGGACACTTATACTATAATATACACCAAACTGAATGTGACAAAACTAAAGTATCCAAATCCTTTTCCCAGCATCAGCTGGCTGAAAGTCACTCAAGATGTTTCAACAAATCATATTTTCAGTTACCTGACTTGTGCCTACTTCTCCCCAGACTCACGGATATGGATTTCTCTCAGCTTCCTTAGAGGTCTGATCCATCACCTAGTTCCACTCAGACACTAGGGATTCTGTTTTCCTACAACTAATCACTCTTATCTCAGGGTGAAGGAATGTAGTGGCATCTTACTTTGCTAGTAAACTTGTGATGGTAGTCACACCTTCTGGGTGTGGTTCAGATGTGACCCCTTATAAGGTAGAGGAGGGGCTTGGGTTGCCATGAGAACATCAGAAGGGCAGAGACTGCATCTTCTGGAGCATGAAGATTGGGGTGGTTATTTACTCTTATTTGTGTAAGTACTTCCCTAATAAATATCTAATCATCATTTATCTTGGGTCTGGTGGACTCATTTAAACCCCACCATTACAGGAACCTTTATTTGCTCTCTGGTGATGGTCCAAGTGCCCCAGACTTGCTTTGCAGGCAAATGGGTTGCAGTCAAGGCAGCTTATTTTCATTCTGAAATTCTTAGGCTATCCAATTATTTCTATTCCTTGCGTTTTTCCAGTTTTTATTTTATTCCTACCTCCAGAGATCCTGGTCAGAAGTAACTTTTGATTTCTATATCTTCCCAGCTTTGTGTGCTCATTACAATGTAGACATCATGTTCCTGCTCCCAAATGTAAATTTTTCAGATGTCAGCTTCATATTCAAGTTGCTATTAGGCATTTCATAAGCAGGGACTCAGAAGAGATTGAATAAATTTTAATTTTTATTAAAATAGAACGTAGACTTTTGTTTCTCCAATCTCTCTTAGATTCAATTAATTAGGTAAGTAAGAATTTAAATGTAAGTTATTTGTTTTTACTACTCAAAGTAGGAATAGTATCTGGTCATTGAGACTTCTTTGGTGGGGAAAAATAACTATGAAATGTGTCTCTATATGAGACTGTGCATACATAGATGAGGAATGATTAATACGTAGCACTGATTGATTACTGCAAAACAGGTGATACTGCCTTTTAAACATATAGTAACCAGAGATGATAACTTGTGGCTCAGAGGAGAGAACTACACCGGATTCCACTAAAGAAAGGTCAGGTCCAAGGGTTTCTAACTGCATCCATTGTAATGTTCCCTGGCCCTATCTTGAGTGTCAAGGAATCACAGTTGCACTGTTAGAAACATCTGTGGGGATTTAGTGGGGGAGGGATAGGAGGGCAGTAGGGAGAGAGAACTAGGATTAGTGCATAAAATGATATTGTTTTTAATTTAAATAAAATTTAATTTTAAAAAAGAAACACCTACTTGGTTATCAGACTTCCTTTTACAATATTGAGGATGGGAAAAGGTTTTGGGAATGAAGGAATGAGAAACCATTTGCTTTCTTAAACACTAGGAAGGGGCTTTCAGAATGCAGAGGTCTTGGGGGAATTTCACCAGGGCATAGACAGGCAGAGGACTGAAGGTGGTTGGAAGACACAGGAGGAAGACAAGGCAACCTGGACAGGCCCAAAGCTGAAGAAATGAGAGTTTTTCTTTCACTTTGGACACACTGCATTAAATGCTATATTTGACATGTGTTTCTAGGACATGACAGGAACATTCCAAGGTGCTTTCATTGCAACCCATGTCCCCAGGCATTAGTGGGGCTATCCACGGTTGAACCCAGTGATGAGATAAGTGTTTGGAATAAAAAAGTTGAGTCCAGCTAAAGTTGAACCTTGTAGAAGTTAAGGAATGTGTGAATACACACACATTTCACATACTAACCAAAGTCAGTATTCGATGTCCAACTTACTGTCTCATTGAAACATTATAATGATGATTGATAATGAATTAGATCTATCACTTGTAGTACAGTATAATTTTCTATTCACATGTTACTTTCTTGAAATGTTATTCTTGCTTCATTTTTTGTCATTTTTCCTGAGAACAGATAATTATCACAAAGAGCAGATTGGCATAAATGAGACATGAAAGCAAAACCCAATTAGGACATTGAAGTTTTATTTATTATTATTATTATTTTTGGTTTTTCAAGAGACAGGGTTTCTCTGTGACTTTGGAGGCTGTCCTGGAACTCTCTTTATAGACCAGGCTGGCCTTGAACTTACAGAGATCCTCCTACCTCTGCCTCTGGAGTGCTGGGATTAAAGGTATGCACCACTACCACCCAGTGACACTGAAGTTTTGACTTGTTCTAGTTCTTTAATTTTCTGTTTTTGAAAGGGCTTGAAGTGTTCCTTCAGAACATTCCCATTGTCCCCTAGATACTCTCTGGCCATATTCAGGTGCAAATTTCCATGAACATGGAGCAATTAAAGTGATTATGCACAGTGATGGCTTTTTCTTGGACTTACTTATTTGAGAATAGTCAACAGTGAGTTCTGACTTTGGAAAATCATGCTTGTTTTGGTTAGGGAGTTGGAAGAATCTCTACTGTAACCCTTTTAATTCATTGTGTAGTAATTTTATCTCAGTAAAGAATGAGCATTTACATGTGTATTTCTAGGAGAGTGATTTTTTTCAGAAGATGACTAGAATGTTTCATAGGGAGTAAATACTCATTTGGAATCACTCCCTGCCTGAGCAGATGTTGGAAGAATCTGCAATATATTCTTAGTGAAATCAGTGTTGTAATTAGGTTGAAACTCATTTAGGACTTTTTAAAAATAATATTTCTCTAAGGTATAAAGACAACAAAGCATAGTTTTAAAAGAACTTAAAGTGAACCTTTGGTGGCATTAGATTGTGTGTGTGTGTGTGTGTGTGTGTGTGTGTGTGACAAAGCAGGGGGTTTTAAGTAATAAATGTTGGTTGCCATCTTTACTCCTCACCTAGGCAACTTCTCTGTGCAATAGACTGAGACTGTTACAGAAAACAACTGTGCTCACTTCAGCAGCACATACACTAAAATTGGAATGATGCATAGAAGATTGGCATGGCCCCTGCAAAGGATGGCAAGTAAATTCATGAAGCACTTCATACTTACAATAGATATTTTATGACAAAGTCAAATTCAAACAATATCTGCCCCCAAATCCAGCCCTATAGAAGGTACTAGAAGGAAATCTCTGACCCAAGGAAGTTAGCTGCACCCATGAAAAAATAGGCAATATCGAAACCTACACCAAGAAAAGGAAACACACACACACACACACACACACACACACACACACACACACACACACATCACCACCACCACCACCACCACCAAAATAAAGGAATTAACACTCACTGGTCATTAATATCTCTCAATATCAATGGACTAACTTCACCAATAAAAAGACACAGGATACCAGAATGGATATTAAAACAGAATCCTTTCTTCTACATTCAAGAAACGTATCTCAACATCAATGACAGACATTACATCAGAGTAAAGAGTTAAAAAGAAGAAAAACCATTTTTTCAATGAAACTATGAAGCAAGCTGGTGTAGCTTTCCTAACATCTAACAAAATAGACATAAAACCAAAAGCAATCAAAAGATATGGAGAAGGATATTTCATATTTATCAAAGGACAAATTCGCCAAGATGATGTCTCAATTCTAAACATATGTGCCCCAAATACAAAGGCACCCACATTTGTAAAAGAAATATTACTAAACTTTACATCACATATGGAACCCACACATTAATTGTGGGAGACTTCAACACCCCAGTCTCACCAATGGACAGGTAGTCTAGATAGAAACTAAACAGAGAAATAACAGAACTAACAGATATTGTGAATCAAATGGATCTAACATATATTTACAAAATGTTTCACCCAAACACCAAAGAATATATATGGAACTTTCTCTAAAACTGACCACTTACTGTGTCACAAAGCAAGTCCTAACAGACACACAAAAAATTGGAATAACTCTCTGTATTTTACCTGATTACCTTGTGTTTCACTTGGAATTCAACAATACATCTACAAAAAGCCTACAAACTCACTGAAATGGAACAACCTTTCACTTAATTACCACCAGGTTAAGGAAGAAATAAAGAAATTGAAGACTTCATAGAAGTCAATGAAAATGAATGCATAACATAACCAAACTTATGGGATACATTGAAAACAGTGAAAAACAAAAAAATCACAGCCCAAGTGTCTGCATAAAAAATGGTAAAATCTCATACTAGCAGCAGCACACTGGAAAGTTCTAGCACAAAAAGAAACAAACACACCCAAGAGAGGTAGACAGTAGGAAATAATCACACTGAAATCAATAAAATAGAAAAAAGAGAACAATACAAAGACTCACTGAAACAAAGAGTTGGTTTTTTTTGAGAAAATCAATAATATAGGCAAACATTTATCCAAAGTAACTAAAAGGCAGAGAAAGAATATTTAAATTAGCATAATCAGAAACAAAAAGGGGATATAACAATAGACACCGAGGAAATCCAGAAAATCATTAGGTCATACTTCAAAAACCTGTATTCCACAAAACTGGAAAATCTAAAAGAAATGCACAAAGTTATTGAAAGATAACAATACCAACATCAAATTAAGTACAGATAAATAATTGAAATACATCTATAACCCATAAGGAAATAAAAGCAGTCATTAAAAGTCTTCCAACCTAAAAAGTTCAGGGCCAGACTATTTCAGTGAAGAATTCTATCAGAGTTTCAAAGAGAGCTAATACCAGTGCTCCTCAAATATTCCACAAAATAGAGACAGAAGGAACATTGCCATTTTTTATGAGGCCACAGTTACTCTGATACCAAAACCTCACAAATACTCCACAAGAAAAGGAAAATTACAGACCACTTTCCTTTATAAACATTGATGCAAAAATACTCGATAAAATGATGGCAAACCAAATCCCAGAACACATCAAAAAGATTATCAGATTATCCAGCACAAGAAAGTGGGCATCATCCAAGAAATGCAGGAAGAATTCAACATATAAATAAACTAAAAGAAAAACAACACATGATCATCTCACTAGATGCTGAAAAAGTTTTTTGACAAAACCCAACACCGCCTCATGGTTTTGGTCTTAGGCATATCAGGGATACAAGGAACTTACCTAAACATAATAAAGGCAATATACAGCAAGCTAACAGCCAACATCAAATTAAATACAGAGAAACACAAAGCAATTCCAGCAAAATCAGGAACAAGACAAGGCTGTCCACTCTCTCCTTATCTTTTCAATATAATACTTGAAGTTCTTGCTAGAGCAATACGACAACAAAAGGAGATTCAAGTGGATACAAATTATAAAACAAGGAGTCAAAGTATAACTATTTACAGATGACATGATAGTATACATAAGTGATCACAAAAATTCTATGAGGAAACTCAAACAGCTGATAAATACCTTTAGCAAAGTGACTGGAAACAAGATTCAGTCAAAAAACAAAACAAAACAAAACAAAACAAAACAAAAAAAGAATCAGTAGCACTCATATACAAACGATAAAAGGGCTGAGAAAGGAATCAGGGAATCAATATCCTTCACGATAGCCACAAACACTGTAAAATATCTTGGTGTAACTCTAACCACGCTAGTGAAAGACCTGTTTGATAAGAACTTCAAGTTTTTGAAGAAAGAAATTGGAGACATTATCAGAAAATGGAAAGATTGCCCATGCTCTTGGATTGGTAGGATTGACATAGTAAAAATGGCCATCTTACATAAAGCAGTCTACAGATTCAATGCAATCCCCATCAAAATGCCAACAAAATTCTTTACAGCCCCTGAGAGAATAATACTCAACTTTATATGGTAAAACAACAACAAAAATCTAGGGTCACTGTAACAATTCTGTACAATGAAAGAACTGTTGGAGGTATCACTATCCTGGTTCTCAAGTTCTACCACCTAGTTATTATAATAAAAAAGAAACAGTATTGGCATAAAAGCAGATAGGTGGAACAATTAAATCAAATCAAAGACCCAGACATAAATCCACACACCTGTGGACACCTGATTTTTTTCTTTTTTTTAAATTTGTATTAAAATAAATTTTGTCTTAGAAACATGCATGCATGCTTCACATGTCAATCCCAACTCCCTCACCCAACCCTTCTCCCTTTTCCCTTCATCAGCCCTCCCCCAGCCCCCCAACCAATCACCACATCATTCCCCAGGGAGGGTGAGGCCCTCCTTGGGGGGATCTCCAGAGTCTGTTTTTTTTTATCTAGGTCAGGGCCTAGACCCTTCCCCATATGACCAGGCTAAGAGAGCATCCCTTTATGTGGAATGGGCTCTAAAAGTTCATTCATATGCCATGGTAAATACTGATCTACTACGCAAGGTGCCAGAGATTTCTGAGGCCCCCACACTGGCACTACATTTAGTACATTTACACAATGGAATACTACTCAGCGGAAAAAATAATGGAATCTTGAAATTTGCAGGCAAATGGATGGCACTAGAAGAAACCATCCCGAGTGAGGGTACCCACTCACAAAAAGACACCTGATTTTTAACAAAGTAGCCAAATTTATACAGTTTAAAAAAGAAACATCTTCAACAAATGGTGCTGTCATAACTCAATGATGGCATGTAGAAGAATGAAAATAGATACTTATCTAACCCCTGCACAAAACTCAAGTCCAAGTGGATCAATGACCTCAACCGAAATTCAGTTACATTGAACCTGATAGAAGAGAAAGTGGGGAATGAATGCTTTGACACAGGAGGCAACTCCCTGACTAGAACACCAGTAGTGCAGACACTAAGACTGACAATTAATATTTGGAACCTCATGAAACTAGAAACTTCTGTAAGTTAAAGAACACTGTCAATATGACACTACAACAGCCTACAGAATGGGGGAAAGATCTTCACCAACTCTATATCCTACAGAGTTCAGCCTTGATGGAGGGCAGGAGGCTTGTCCATGCTCAACTGAATATGCCATGCTTTGTTGTCTCCCTGTTGGAGGCCTTATCCTTTTTCAGGAGTGGATAGAGTTTGGGGAAGATGGCAGGAGGGGGAACTCAAGAAACTAGACATCAAAACAAATAATCCAATTAAAAATGGGGTATGGACTTAACCAGAGAATTTTCAATAGAAGAATCTCAAATTGCAGAGAAACACTTAAAGAAGTCTTTAACATCCTTAGCTATATGTGAAATGCAACTAAAAATGACTGAGATTCCATATTACATTTTTCAGAATGGCTAAAGAGTAAAAACAAGTGACAACTCATATTGGAAAGTATGTGGAGCAAGAGAGACACTCTACCATTTCTTGTGGGAGTGCAACACTTTGGAAATCAATATGGCAGTTTCTTAGAAGATTTGGAATCAACCTACCTCAAGACCCAGCCATACAACTCTTGGGCATATACCCAAATAATGTTCAAACACACTGCAAGGACACTTGCTCAATCATATTCATAGCAGCATTATTTGTAACAGCTAGAACCTAGAAACAACCTAGATGCCCCTCAACAAAAGAGTAGATAAAGAAAATATGGTACTTTTTTGTTGTTTTGTTTTTTTATATTTTATTTTTAAATTTAAATTTAAATTAGAAACAAGGTTGCTTCACATGTCAATTCCAGGTCCCTCTCACTTTCCCTCCCTGCCTCCCGCACCCTCCCACTAGCGCCCCCCACAATATCTCCTCATTTCCCTAGTGAGGGTGAGGCCCTCCATGGGGGTGTCCATAGTCTGTCATTTCATCCATGGCAGGGCCTAGACTCTCCCCCAAGAATACAGGGTGATATGTGAGGTTGGTTTGAGGCTTGCATGGATTAACCATGGAAAATGCTTTAATACTCCATAGTATAGTATGCTGTGGGTCTCCTAAGGGCAGTCATCATCATTGTCAATCATCATGTAAAAAGATTGGCCACAAGGAAGGAAAATTCCTGAAGACTGTGGCAAAGAGATACCAAGAAAGGGTCTCAAGATGAGTTTTAAATATAAAGGCAGTCCCAAAATAGAGCAAATAATTCTCTAAATGTGTGGTGTTCACACCATAAACAAGTCGGGGTATCGGGAAATGAAAGACACAATGTCCAGCTATTTGT